TGGGGTATCAAGAAATATCACAATAGCATTACAATTATAACAACAATTATTACTGTTACGACAAACACAATAATTAACTTATTGCTATTCTTACCGTAATTGTGATGAATTAAAATTTTCCTTAACTGTTATCTGATGATTAATGTAATAAGTTTTTAATCATAAAAACTTATTAATTTAAAACCATATTTTAACAGTAGGTTGACTAAAACAAAATATTTCTAAAGGTATAACTTAATAAGAAATAAGAAACAAATATTTAAAATAATGAAATAGACAAATAAAATAAAATATGTTCAACAACTACTCTTAATAAAAATATATATTATACCATTAGTGTAATTGATACTTCTTCGGAAATCATAGTATGATTCATGATTTTGATTCATCATATGATTTATACTTTTTGATTTAAAATGATGAAGGTATGAATCTAAGTCTTTAATCCTTTTTATTAAACAACAGTTGGATTGCTGAAGCATTTTAATTGTATTTAAATATATTGTTTACCATTGGTGTTAGGATTGATTTGACACTTTTCAACAATGTTTTTAAAACCATAAAGATATTGTCACAAAAAGTAAACTCAAACATTTACATCAATATATGATATTGTAAAAGTAATTGTAAAGTATGTCATTGCAATGTATTTAAATGAGATTTACTGTATTAAATTACTGGTGATATTATTGTTAACATAAATGATATAGTTATCAACATTGTTCCTAAATATATATATATATATATATATATATATATATATATATATATATATATATATATATATATATATATATATATATATATATATATATATATATATATATTTACGAACAATAATGTTGATAATCATACCATTAATGTTAACATTAGACTTACTGTATAACATTAATGTTATACAGTAAGTCTAATGCGTGTATATATATATATATATATATATATATATATATATATATATATATATATATATATATATATATATATATATATATATATATATATATATATATATATATATATATATATATATATATATAGGCACACAATATATATATTACAAAAACTAAACTTAAAAGTTTTAAATCTATATATTTCATTGCAAAAAGATTAGTTACATTAGACTTACTGTATTTGAATCATTGGTGGTAATATTTGAAATAATTCTTTGTCTATATTTTTTGGTAGTTTTCTAGAATAAATACTTTTTCATAAAAGTGTTGGGAAATTAAATATAGAAGAAATTGCATTTTTTTTTAGTTTCTTTTGTGAACTCGAAAGACTTCCTTTATACCAGTGAAATATTTACCACAACGTTTAGACAGTTTACTAGGAGTAAAACCATCACTCCACATAACTTGTATCCATTTTCTCCTCAATTCTATATCTTTCAGAAAACTACCAACAAAAATAAGCATATTAAAATAATATGCTATTTATATTTAAAATATAATGTAGGATTTTAGCAAATAATGATTTGTAGCTACTTACACATGAAAAGAAACCCTTTTAATATATCTTTAAGTGCAATTATATGCAAAACAAGATAACATCATGATCTTTATATATCTATATTCTATTTGAAAATCAAAATTTAAACAAAATAATATACATAACAAATAATAAAACTTTAAAAATGTTAAATACATTCACCCTAAACCGATATTATAAATTGTTTAATGCCCAAACGTGACGTCACGCGCTAAAAGATGTTGGCTTCAAAGTTGTGTGAATATTTACTAGCGGTAAGGCGTGTCTATCAGTTTATATGGTCGAAGGTTCTATTAGTACATATGGTTAAGAACTTAATAAATAATATAAGTGATACGCAAAATCTATGTTGTATAGAAATTTTTATTAATAAGTAAAAAATAATACAGTCATCAGTAATAGTATAAAAAATCAGATAGACAGAATGCTATATTATTAGTATTTAGATGTACGCCTAACATTTGAACTTGCTCTAAATTTTAAAACATTTCCGGTAGCAAATAAGCTCTGCAGTACTAGATAACCGCTCCAAAAATACTGTAGATAGAGATATCCCTTGATATTTTTGTGCTAATTTTTTTTACTTCTAAACTAGGTTTTACTTGCGAATTGAAGTTTTTTCAAGTTCAATGTACTTCGTCTCCCATTGTGCGGAGTGTATATCTAAATTTATAAAAGATATTTTTGCCACCATATTTAAGTTACAATAAAAATACAGAAGTTTTTTACTATACTTACTACAGAACTTGTGTTAATCAGTTATATAATGACCAGACAGCACCTGGAGCAGGTGTGCGTTTTTGATTTTTAGGTTGCATTCTTGAGTTTCAACAACTGTAATTTCAAGATCATTTTCTAGCTTTAAGGTATTTAACTCACCGATTAATAAAAAAACAGCTTATTCAGCATTTGTCTTGCTCCTACAAGATGTTAGTTTTAAATCTGGGACCTAATATTTTTTCAAATGCCTAAATGGATACTTTCTCTTAGTCTCCGTAACGTCGATGCAAAAATTCACATAGTCAATCTTTGAAATTTCCATAGTATTTGATGCGAATAAATTGACATGTTAACCGCATATATTGTTGCGATAACTTATGATGCGGTCATTTTTGATAAACTTACTGTAAACGTGACGTCTTCAAAAGCTTTTAGCGCAGGAACAAGAGAAACTAAACTAGGAACAAATAGCGTATGAGTCTTCGTAAAACCACTAATTTATCCCCACTCCATCTTCCACCCCTATAGCTTGATGTAATTTATTTTGATTCCTAATTATTTTTTTTAAGTTTTACTTATAGCTTTTTTTTAAATTTGTTTATTTCGTCATTAAAAAAAGAATACATTGCCGTGTTATATAAATAAAGTCTACATAACCGGTGCTAAAAGAAGACAATATTTGCCTAATCGACGTGCTTTCATCAGCTAGCGTGTGCAACCACAAAAAGTTAAACATGCAAATACTTTGTACAATTTAAAAAATATATACAAATGTGTACAAGTATGTTAAAATTAGTTACTAATCTTTAATAAAAAAAAAATCGTAAAAATAAAATAAAAAATAATCAAACCTAAAAACTAAAGATAACTTAGGTAATAGGGTATTATGAAGAAAATTTAAATTAGAGACAAATTAATAAGATAATTGTTTAAGATAAAAAATAAAATAAAAAATAAAATAAAATATTTTAAAAAGAATTAAATTCATTAACAAACATTTTAAACAGTTTTATTTGCAGATGACACGAATTTATTTTATTCTAATGGAGTTATGAACCTTTTATTTAGAATAGTAAACAAGAAGTTTTTAAAACTAGCCGAATGGTTTAAGGCAAACAAATTGTCCTTAAATTTAAATATAACTAAACATGTTTTTTTTCATAGACTTTAAAATAAAGAAAATATTCCATTAAGTTTTAATCTTAGTTTTGACAACTTTTAGGAGTGATAATTGACGAAAACATGACATGGAGAGAACACATAAGAACGATATATGATAAAATTTCAAAAAGTATTGGCACACTATACAAAGCTAAGCTTTTATTAAACCAAAACTGCTTAAAAAACATATATTTCTCCTTCATACATTTTTATACTAATTATGTAAATATTGCATGATGCAACTCTAATGTGAGTAAAATTAAAAAACGGCGTAGTAGACAAAAACAGGCTGTCAGAAATATTTCAAGTGCAGGTCGATTCACACATTCTAAAAATTTTTTTAAAATCATCACATACTCAATGTTTTTCAGTTAAACCTTTAACAAATTCTTATATTTATGTACAAACTTCATAATAAAATAACTCCTATAATATTTAGTACATTTTTTAATAAAATTAATAACGTGACCCTACAAGATTTTCAAATTACAATAATGAGCATCTTAAAATGCACTATTTGGTTACCAGCTTTTCTATTGTCATCAGAGGTCCTAAATTATGGAATAAAAACTAAAACATAGTTCTTCTCTTTCTCCATTCAAACAAAAACTCAGACAAAAACTTAATAATGACGATATAAAACTAATGAACTTATGGAAATCGTTTACATAAATAAGAAATAAAAATGGACCCAGAACTGACCCTTGGGGAACACTGCAAGTTATAGTCATGTAATCAGATTTTCCTTCTTCATTTAATGTGATATGTATTGTTTTCTATTGTTTAGATAACTTTTTTAAACAATAGAAAACACAGTTTTCCATTATTTAATGATTAGAGCTAATCCAAATATGTGCTTTCAATACCATAACTTTCGAGTTTTTTTATAAAAATGTTATGGTATACTGTATCAAAAGCTTTGCTAAGATCTATTAAAACTTCGAGAGTAAACTTTTTTTCGTCAAATGCATTAAATACTTTGTGACAACACACACACACACACACACACACACATATATATATATATATATATGTATATATATATATATATATATATATATATATATATATATATATATATATATATATATAATAAACCGTTAACCAAAATTACAATGGTTAAGGATCGTATTTGTAGTTAAAAAAAATACAGTATTTATAACTTTCAAAGTTGTTATTGACGATTATTTTTAGTTATATTGCTCATTTTTGTTTTTAAAATATTACATTAAAAGTCATTATTGCTTCTAAATATTATTATCAATTCGACCGATCAAATCATTAATTGAATATTGAAAATTGATTAAACTTTTTTAACAACTAAATTGTTTTTGAGAAAATGTAAAAAAAAAAAAAAAAATAAACAGTAAATCTCTACATCTTTAAATTACTTAAATTAAATAACCTTCATTTTTATTATTTTTTTAAATGATACAATTTTTTAAATGATAACTTTTTAAAGTTTAATACAATAGGAATATTTATAAAATTAAAATTATTATTTGAATAAAAACAAACATAAATAAATTCTTAAAAAAAAGATTCAAGACTCAAGTTTTGAATTTATTTTAATAATAAATTTTAAGTATGATTTGTTTAAAAAATAATAATGTTGATTTAACTGTTTATAGATTTTGTTTACCGTCATCATCATCATCAACATCGTAAACGTCATCATCATTGTCAACAAACTTCATGACGAATAAAATACTACTTTCTTTTCTACTTTTTATAAAGCTTTATAAAGGTAAAATATTTATAGATAAAATATTTTTACTATTATGAATTAAAAAATTATTATTATCATTTTTTTTTTTGAGAATGTTTAAGAAATTTTAACTTCTACGTCATAAAGGTTTAATAAAAATTAAAAAAAACTTTTGTTTTTTCATTTTAATTAAATTATTACTCTAAAAAAAGAGCTAAAAATTGCAACTTTTTGTAATATTGAATTTGCTGTTCGTTTAAAAAACACGCTTTTCAAGATAATCTAACTCAATTTTTATCTAACTAACAATTCTAATCTAACTCAATTTTAATTCTGGTTATGGTAATGTCTCAATAAAAGATTCAGCTGCATATACTATGGGTTGTCCACGAATTACGTCACACAATTTTTTGCCATTTAAGACATTCTTCCCCCCCCCTCCTCGTCACAACATGACGAGGAGGAGGGGGGGGGGAGAATGTAATACTTTAGTATTAAGTTCTGTATGAGTCGTCACAAAGCAACTAACCCCTTCTTTACCCCCTCCTCCTCTAAAGCGTGACGTAATTTATGTATGATTAATGCATTATGATAAATTGTTTGCCACTAACTTTCAACTTTTTTTTGTTCAAAAATTCTCAATGTTTATAATTTTTAAAAAATGTTTACAAATGCAAAAAATTTAAAAAATTTTTAAATACCGAAACCAAGCCATGTTGTTAGATGGAATAAGTTTACTTTTTTCTTTTGAATGCATTTATACGTTTATGTTTTAGTTTTAATTTTTTAGGTCGAGTACTTTTGATACACTTTGCAATTTTTTATGCCCTCTTTGTCTTCGTCTGCTTTTTTTTCATTATCAGACCAATAAAGTAAAAAGGCAGGTTTTTGTTTTGTCGTTACCTTCTTTAACTTGCTTAGTTTTTCGGTTTGGTATTTTAACGTCTTTATATTTTCAAACGATTGTTAAATCATTTTGTGTTCCATTTTTATTTTTATCTAATGGTAAAAGCGTTTCGCTTGTGAATTTTTTTGTTAAGTTTACCTTGTTACTTTCAATTATTCTTGAAATAATGGGATCACTTGACATTACTTTGTTACTTTCAATTATTCTTGAAATAATGGGATTATTTGACATTACTTTGTTACTTTCAATTATTCTTGAAATAATGGGATCACTTGACATTACTTTGTTACTTTCAATTACTTTTGAAATAATGGGATCACTTGCTTTCGAAAGTTTATTAAGCATATCTTCGTTTGTTTATCAAAACTCTGTTCATTTTTTTTAGAATTGCTAAATTTCCTATACTCTTTGATTCTTTTTGCAGCAGTTTCTTTTAACAAAACTCCACAAAATCCAAACAAACCTGTCAGATTAATATTTGGACTTAAACTGCTGTAGATCATGCACTGAAACTGACACGACAGCCTAATTATTAGAATTAACATGCCTTTCAAAATTTGCATAGCAGTAATCTTCAAATGTAAAAAAAAAATGATCTTTACATTTGAGTTTATGACGCTCAATATAATTCGTTACTTCGTGGAGAAGTAATGAATTCATTCAATGTTATCCCCGTTATACTGGCTGTATATCTGATAACTTTAAAATGCTTTTTGTTAGATATTACTGTGCTAGATATTACTGTCATTAGTTGTATTGCTATCACCTGCTTTTAGTATATAAGCGAGAAAATTTAAACGTTTTTGAAATTTGATTTGAACGCGTTATTTTGATCGGAAGCCATTATTTTATGATCTTGATCTCGGATTTTTGTCTCGATGTCAACTCGATAAGCAATATGAAGTATGCATTCAAAATAATCCACGCATGTAAACTTGATAGACTTAGCTGAAGATGGCTCTTTTTACCAGTTTTTTCTTTTTTACAAAGTTTAGAGTTCATTTGCTTGCGCGATGCCTAACAAATATTGTAGGACGTTGAATATTTCAGATCGCATGCAGAATTAGCACCCGCCTGCCGGCTATCATGATAAGCATCAGATTATACTTTACTATTAACTGAAATAATTCGTTTTGCTCATTTAGTACGCTTACTTTTGCATTATTTAATAATGCTATTTAATTCTTTACTCTTTTTCTTCTTGTAACAAACTAGAGATTCTAATTTGAACTTTAATCAAAATTACAAACAAAAATAAGAAGAATTTTGTTTTTCCCGAATTGAAATTGTACGTTCGCCAGAAGACATCAATGTATTCTCTAAATGTGAATTTCCACTCATCCGTTTTTTCACGGGAACAGGATAGGAAAGGGAAAAATAATCACGTGAGCATGCGTAGTTTTCCTTCAGGCATATTAAAACTTATACTACGCATGCCCACGTGATTATTTTTCCCGTTCCTTTCCCGTTCCCGTGAAAAAACGGATGAGTGGAAACTCGCCTTAAAAAAGACCATTGGAAAAAATGTTGTTGCAAACATTTATCATAGCTGCTATTATCCAAATAGTATTTCTGTTTGTATACAATAAGATTACCGTCTTAACACCATTTCTCAATTATAATTATTGTTTTACTTAAAGGTTTTCTTATTTCATATTGTACTTGATCTTATTGGAGTAATCAATAAATTGAATGACTCAACAGATCTTGCAAAGATGCCTTGGATGTTGGTTTTAAAAACGTTAAATAAAATCTTTTTGATTTAAAAGTTAAGTTATCATAAACATTTGGCCAAAAAAGTAAAAAATAACTTTATGAATAATTAAAAAAAACTTTTGCACTTTTTTAATAAAATTTATTACAAAAATGAGGTCTTTTAAATCCATGAAGCTTTTTTGTTAGTAAACAAAAATAATAAACTTTTAAATTTTTAGATAATAGAAGCAGTAACGTGAGTAATGCATATTTCGGACGTTTTTATCTTTGAATGAAAACTAGGACGTTTAAACTTTAGAAATTTAAAAATATTTTTACATAATCTTATAAATCTCGACAAGCTGCATAAAAACTTAGAAATTAAAAAAAAAAGTGCTTAACGAATTTAATTATAAAAAGTGCTTAAGGAATTTAATTATAAAAACAGTACTAAAAAATTTGAAATATCATGCAGTGCATGTTAATTCGGATTCCATTAAAAACGTATGGAAAAAATCAAAGTTGCGAAAATAAAACGTTTTTTTTTATATAGTAAAAAAAATAATCACATACACGCCCATACATTTAATGATCGAATTTTTCGGATTGTATTTTTTTTACTTCGGATTTTTCGGATTATACAAGCTAAAGCTTGCTGGAAAGTAGAGAAACCTTGGTCAGCATAAGGTTTTAGATGAGTAACCTAAAGTCAGCATAAGGTTTTACATGAGGATGCACCAAAAACCATTATCTCTGATCAAAGCCGGATTAAGGTTCTTAGGGCCGGGGACAAAGATTATTTGGGGGTCCCATTCTTATATATATATATATATATATATATATATATATATATATATATATATATATATATATATATATATATATATATATATATATATATATATATATATATATATATATATATATATATATGTATATATATATATATATATATATTTATATATATATATATATATATATATATATATATATATATATATATATATATATATATATGTATATATATATATATATATATATATATATATATATATATATATATATATATATATATATATATATATATATATATATATATATATATATATATATATATATATATATATATTTATATATATATATATATATATATATTTATATATATATATTTATATATATATATATATATATATATATATATATATATATATATATGTATATATATATATATATATATATATATATATATATATATATATATATATATATATATATATATATATATATATATATATATATATATATATATATATATATATATATATATATATATATATATATATATATATATATATATATATATATATATATATATATAGTTACCAAACATGAAAATACATTAGATAGAAAAGTTGTGTAACTAAGAAATAAATTTACTAATTTATGAAAAATGAATTTACTTTCAGAATATGAAAAGTTTCAAAAAATGATTGAAGAAATTCTAAATTGTTCTAAAAAAAGAACAAAATCTAAAAATGAAATTGATGAACAAACTAAAAAATCAGTATTCAACCAAGGTAAAGAGAAAGCTATGAAAGAGGCGATGGAATTGTTAGAGAATAGGTTTAATAAAAATATAAATATTAGCAAAATAAATATTAATTAAATCATAATATATGTTCAAGTAAAACATATATTATTTTCAAGTAAAACATTTATAATGTTCATTTGAAACATTATAGATATCAAAGAGATTTAGCTATTCTTGATTATGCAAATAATTTAAAAAAATTATTGCATATATAAAATGCCATTTTTAAAAACTACAGATCCTGATAAAAGAGATCAAATGATTAAAGAAGTAATAGAATCAAGAAAAAATATATATCAGAATTCTTTGAATGAAAGATTAGGCACTGATGATTTACAGATTGACTTAACAAAATTGTACAAACCACTAATAGATAACCAATCTGGAATAAAAGAAGGCTTATCTAAATTAGAAAATAAAGATGATCAATTAGCAATTACTTTTTCCAGTTCTGAAAGAACCCCAGCTTTGCTAAATCCTGAAGTAATACATAAAACTAAAGCAATCATTCCACCAGAAGTTGTAAATAACATGACATTAGGAGCTATCGCAACAGAATATCTAAAGTTATATACTGCTAAAAATAGCAAAAAGGTATTAGATACTACATTCGGTATACATTACAATAAAGATAATGAAAACTTTTACATTGGTAAATAACCGATAACAATTGAAGGTAATGATATAACTAGTGAAAGTAAAAAAGAAATTGGAACTCCTGGTCTTTGGGAGTTAATAGTAAAATCTCATCCTGTTAAATATACTAACAATGATCGAAAAAAGTATAAACAAATTTTAGAGCATACAGATGCAATTCGTACTAATCTAAATCCTGATAAGCCAATA